GGTCCAGATTCCAGTCTAACCAGGCTGCGTGACAGCAAGTCTGACCTCAACAAAAGAAGCCTAACCAATAAAAATGGAGACCACTCATTAACACGACCCTGGGACAGGTTTAACTCATCTGTGGCTGTCTATAAGAGATTTCAAATCTAGTTGAGTTGGTTAGAAATACAACATTCACCATTGCGTCACATGGCTGAAACAGAGACTCAGTTCAACTGTGACTTTTCTTTAAAGGCATTCCGTTAAATTAACCTACTTATTTTCAGATCACTTTTATCCCTCTAAAGTTATTACAACAAATATATTTAACAGTAACATGGTTTGCACCTAAACCAAGTTTTTTTTCTCCTGCCAACACAATAAATCCTATTATATCTATTTTTATTGTGTTGCCAACAATTGTTTATCCATTTGACATCACACTTTGTGTGTTTATTTGAGAGGGTGAAAAAAGTTTAGTGTTAATGGCGAAGTGTTTTGGTTGAGCATTCTTTGAGAATAACAGTCTAAGAAAAATAATAACAACAGTTTTTTAGGTTGTTGTCCACAAACTGATGTCTTTTATTATTACAAAAGTGCAACAAAAAAAAAACCCATATTGCATATAATTACTGTGTTCTCAAACTTATTCAAACAGTAATAAAATATACTTTATTTAAATTACCATAAAGATACTGGATGAAATTTAGACAAGACATCTCGCTCAGTAATTTGCGGCTGGAGTTTTTAGTGTTTATGTGTAACTCATGCAGGCAAAAACCTCCTGTCAAAAACGTAGTAAATTAAAAGATCTTAAAATGACTCTTGCTTTTGAATATAAGTAGTATTCATAAGCAGTGTCACCTGAAAGTGAATTAGGGTCTTTTTACTCAGTTCAGGTTTACACTATGCTTTAAGTGGCTCTAATTTAAGAGGGCGGAACAACATATTACATGGTCATCTTTCTTGTCTGGTCAAGATGACAGCAGTGCTGCATGCCAGAGAGCCTGTTGCGCTGCTTATTTATAGCTTAGGATTTAAAAAAAAGGTGATGTTCAGGCACAGAGGGACTATAAATTCTCTAATGGCATTCCCAGAGGAAGCAACATATTCTTCAAATGCAGGAAATCCCGGTTGCTATATAATAATTGATCTGATAGTAACCTGCTGTATGACATCAAAGAACATATCCCTGTGTCGCTTTGTTAACTTCAAATCCAAGCATTGCTCCATCAAAAATCAATAAATAAATAAAAAAGTCAGAAATATTTAAGAACATTTAGACAAATGTATTCTTGAGTGATGTAACATAACAGGTTCAAATGTCTAAACCAAGCTATCTTTGGGCTGCTCAGGTCTGGCTAAAACACGAGAATGACATTTTTATATTTCTATTTATTTATGTGAACTTATCGTACGAACCATTAGGCTAAACAGAACCAGTCTTTCCATGTCACCTGATGCTTTTAAAAACCGTAGTATAAATCCCCTCTTCTTATATAGTGCTGATGTAGTGCAAGATACCCCACCGGTTATTCTTCTGTGTCCATATAAGAGCTGGAATGTCTTCTCCTGGGATCTGGACTGAAGAATTATTGCGAGATCTGTGGAAAGATGACAGGAAAACCAAATAATTTGTGTAAAGCTATGACTTAATCTCTGTGTTGTTTACAGTTTGAGGCCAGAGGCTTGGGATGTTTCCAACAGTGTGACAAAAATTTCAACAAGGTTAAACTGAGATTGCAACACAGTTTCACCCCTTTAAGAACAAATTCAGATTTATTCTTAGCAGCTTTGTTTGTATTTGTTTTCATCTATTATTTAAATCAAACAGAAAAAAAAAAAATCAGTAGATGTCCGAACCATTTTGAAATTAACAGACGTCACTGTAATTTCCCAGTTTATTTTAACAGATCATCGTGTTACTGGAATTCTTTCTTTTGCTCTGATATATAAATAAATAATTAAAGAAAAAACATAAACAGCAGTAAAGTTTTGTAAACAATGTTTATGGGTCCTGAACAATTAACTAGAATTTATATTATTTTGTCTGACTGTGACATTGTTAACATGTCATAACAAAAAACAAACTGAAGACCAATCTACATCGTGAAAGACTGAGGAAGAGTGAACGAGTATTTTTCTTCACTGATATTACAGACCATCATGAAACGTTGTCTATTTGCCTGCAGGGACATGTTCCTCACAATTTTTCCTAAACTATCCATAATTTTTCTCTCACACTCACCTACCAACTTCAACTATTTGCATCCGTCTTCTGGTGATTTTGTCTTTCAAACAGGAGGATAACCACAGATGCATGTGTGCAGTGTTTAGTCTCAGTCAGAAATCTCCACGTTCCCAATCCATCTTCTTTATAATCGCACATTTTGAAACACAATTGGATTTTTATTACTGTGAAGAATAATTGAACATGTCGTTGGCCGTTCATAGTTGGTGTAATTAAAGACAGATGGGAATTACACTGGTTGGATTCTGAAAGTAATAAGCCCAGGCAATGTTGATTGGTTTGCAAAACTGTGTAAGGAATTGTCCTACTTAATATTTTATGTAGTGATATACACTGTATGACATTGCATTATTTCAGTGACGTTGACTGAATATATTACAGTATTATAAAAAATGGCAACCCCTTATCAGCTTTGCAGTATACTGTATAAGAGGTTGTTTCAGATTATTGAAACCTCAATTGGGATCTCAAGGCTTTTTTGATAGTTAAAGGGTTTGATTCTGACTTTTTTAGAGTGTTTCTCTCACTTTTCTATCTTTTCTTTACAGTTATTTTATGGATGGCAGAGTAAAGAAAGCAGAGGACTTCCTCAAAACCCGTCTGTTTGACACACTGACTGAACAGATGATGAAAGTCACCCAGGTACATACACATTTCCCCCAGCCCTGCTGTAAAATTCATGGTCACTTGTTTGTTAGCAGCAGGTTTGATGGTAGGACTTTAGTTCTTTCGAAATGCAGCTGCCAGAGTTTAAGAAAAATACGATCATATCTTCACTTCAGCTTCCCTCCATTGGCTCTCTCTGTGTCATTGGGTTGATTATAAAATATTGCTTTTGACTCTAAAAGCCCTGTGTTTTATGGCTCCAAGTTAAACCACTTATCTGCCTCTAAATCTTTTCTTACGGCTCACTCAGAGTTTTTCTTGAAATGTGATATTACTATGTTTATGAACACAATTTAAAAAAAAATGTTGTGATGGACTTTTTTAGAAGCCAAACACAGTAAACCTCAAAGATTGAATCCCTCCAAAGTAAGCATTTTGACCCTGACAAAATAAAATCAACATGAGAAAAAGCATCTCACAATAATAGCATTTTTATTCTTATAATATTTTTTATTTTTTTATTTTTCAACTTCAGCAAATGTATTTTATTTCCCAAGGATGGGAAACTTTTTGGTAATCTTACACCTTCCATCTGCTCTTCTTGACCTTCGCAACATAGTCAACATTTGGGTGGACTTGACAAGTTGTCATAAATGAACTTTTTTAAAGAACACCTACCAAGAAGCAAAACTTCCCCAAAGGAAAAGTTAAAATATGAATTAAATCTTACAGCAGTGGGATTCTGGGGGTTCTTCATCAGTTCTAAATCACTGTAAGATTTGACTTTGTGTATTTTTATGGGCAGGAAAATAAAATCTCCAAAAGCATATTTCTGAGTCTACTGGCATCTATAAGGATAAACTGGTGTATTCTGGAATTTTAGGCTAGATTTTTGTTTTGCTGAATTGTATAATTGTATTGTATTTATTCAAAGATTATGCCTGTTTTGTAAAAATGAATAGTATTAGTAAGAGTAATTTCATTTCTGTTCTCACTGACTGCAAGTATGATGAAAAGTTCTTCAAACTTTTTTGTTTCCATCACTCTTTGCAGTTGGTGAACACACACACTCCTGGTAAGAAGGTGTGGTTGGGTGGACTAGGACCAGCATGGACTGGCGGCATCAATAACCTGTCTGACACCTATGCTGCTGGCTTTCTGTAAGCACTGTAACCTGGCCTTCAACACCGTGTTTTCCATAGAGTAGATGAAACCACTCACATCAAAACAACTTTGTGAATTATAGGATTTTCTATTTTATATCCTAATTAATATCTCCATGTGTTTTTATTCGTTGCAGGTGGGTGAACACATTGGGCATGGCTGCCGTACAGGGGATAGATGTTGTGTTGCGTCACTCTTTTTTTGACTACGGATACACGCACCTGGTGGATCAGCATTTTAACCCGTTACCTGTAAGTCTTTCACTTTCTACTCAGCAAGAATCAGTGAGTACTTGTTCACGTTGATTTTTCATCAGAATCAAAAGGTTTTGACCTGAGAAGTCCTGTTGTTCTCTGTAACAGTTCTGTACTGGGCCCAGTCACTGTCTCAATGGCACCCCTTGCACTTTCCCGTGGGAGCTATTAGCTGAGATGAAAGGCGTTTAGTGGTGATGAGTAGGATAGAAGTGGGGGCGAAAAAGCCATGTAACATTAGCCCTTTGTCTGTAGCTCAGGACAATGTCACTGCTTCCCTCAACCCCCCATCACAACTGTGCACCTCTCTGTTCGGGACAGTCGGCCGGTGATAGATCCGTAATCTGAGACATGGATGCTCCGACATGTTAGTCAAATAGCCTGAAAAACTGTGCGGAATGGAACTGCCGAGTCCCAATTTCACATTCGGTCTCAGCAGTACTGAGAAGTTCCTGTAAAACTTGGGATATCTAAGTCAAATGTTTGACAAAAAGAATGCTGCTCTTTTTTGAATGCACCTCTGTGTTTTATTAATTTTACTGTGGAAAAAATTGAGTCATAAAAAGGTGATAAAAATGCTATCATGAGCCAAATACATAAAAACATTTATTAATAAAAGATTTGAACTAGGCTAAGGCAGCATTGATGCAAGCTCCAGAACATGTACAGTAAATCACTGTTCTCATCACAAATGCCGACTGAAAAAAAAAAAAAAACACTCACCAGATTTTTTTCTACTAAAGCAAATACTGGCAGGATCAGTGCATCTCTGTGCTTAGACCATTCAAACAAATGACTTTCATTAAATTTGACGATATATTTAAAAAAATTAAAACACATTTTTTATTTTCTCTTTAATGCGGCATAGGCCTTTCTTGTGTTCCTAACTACGTTAATGCTAAACAGTTGAGGTTACTTTTACTCACCTCTTTGTTTCCATTGATTTTCTGGGAATTGCTGTGTCCTTCTTGGTTCCCAGTGCCTCTAACATGGTTTGATGTCTGGAGGCAGCCTACCTGCTGAGAGAATTCACTGCAGGGCCAACCTGTCCTCAGTGTGTGAAATTTATGGCCTGGCCCTTGCCCCTATAGTCAAAGACCCCAGGCCACCTTAATGACTCTAGCACCTCACCCCCATCCACTTTTAGCCTTTCTCACCCCAGTCAACCTCCCTTTTCCTTTTTTGTTTGGCCTATAATCAGGTATATTGTGTTTCTTGTATATTTTTGTATATGTAGGACAGTCTAGGTAAATATGACTGGTATAATCCCTGAGTAAATGTACTGAGTTAAAATTCTTAACTGATTTCTAATCTTTTACTTACTACATATATTTTCTATGCACACTACATATCTAAAACTACAAAAAAGACAACATTTTTTGTGATGGTCAGCAGAAATATAATGAAAATATTTTTTAAAAAAATTGTATTTCTCTCCTTGGTCCCCAAATGTCTTTACAGTACTAGCTACAGAAAATGGGGAATATAATATTTTCAATATTTTTCTGAGCTGCTTATATCGACATCTAAATTTATGTTCACCAAACATCTAAATGCAGTCAGTGAAAGCAATCAAACCACGTCTTCATTCTTTTCTTAACTGTAATTGTTTCGATTACAGCATTACTTCATTACAGAATGAAGTTTTACACTGTTGTCATACTGTAGTAACTCTTCCTTTTTGGTTTCTATTTTTCACATTAAAAACAGGGTGATTAGATGGAGCAGTGATATGGCAGACAAGTTTATTTCTCATATGGAAACCGTCCACGAGCAAACCAAGTGATTATGTTTTTTTGCAGACATAAAGTATCATACAAAGACTTTTTCCTGGCAATGATTTTCTGTGCTAATTTTGTCCATTTGATGCAAAATCCACCCAAAGCCGTCTGAAGAGAGGGAATGTTCGCAAAGGTCGAATTTAATCAAAAACACTAAAATGCTAAGCTTCTCATATTCCTAGATATTTATACAGCCCTAAAGATATGACTAGACCTTGATTGGATGTATTAAACAGAAGACTAAATGTTAATTGTTATTCTATTTAACTTGAAGTCTTCTTTGCCTTTAACCATGCAGCTGATGTTTGTTTGGTCTCTGATTTATTGTTTAACTTTCGAGAATCCTTGACATGTCTCTGGTTTACTTTTGCTTGTCAGTCTTTCTCGTTTCTCCGTGCACATGTTCTTCTGATTGAGTGCAAATGCAGTGGACGTTACTCCAATGGTTGCTGTCTTTCTGCTCCTTCGTCTGTCTATCAAGATGAAAAGAGCCGGGGGCAGCAGAGACGGGGAGATCGTCATGCAGTCAGACAGGAAAATGGGCAGACAGTCAGACCGCTGACGATGTGGGACTTCAGCTGATATTTCACAAACATGTTCGGCATCATGTCCTCCTAATTTGCCTTTCTTATCTGGAACCTTAGTTTTAAATGTATAACTTTTTTTTCTTGTTCCTTATTTCCGCGTGTTAAAACATCAAAACAAAGAACAAGAGCAACACCTCTGCGGCCATTTTGCTCTTGACTCATAACCATTCTTTGTTCTATAATCACAGATTATAGCTCTGGATATACATTCATGCATCCATCCCTCTGCCTGTGGCCAGCACTATACGGTTCCATACTGTGCTCTGCTTCTTCGATGCCTTGGCAGCAAATTAAGTTAAAGCCTGCATGGAAAAAAAGAGAAGCCCTTAAATGTTGCCATATGCAGGATTGCATGGGAACTTCCTGAGGAACACATGTTGTTCTGGGTCTCTCAGAGAGGTGTTGCGTCTGTGTAGTCGAAAGAGTGAGACACACCACGGTAGACCTCTGTACAATGATAACCGAAGACAGCAATCCACTCTTCTGCATAATATTTTGTAAAACTGTCATATTTCAGACCTGTCAGTCTGAAACAAGACTGCAGTTGTTATATACAAAGTGGCAAGTTACATACGACAATTAGCTCCAACTAAACGTCAAGTGTCAAAGTGCTGACATATCTGACATATTTGTGGTAGATGTCTATTTTTTCCCCCTCCACCCCTCACTGGCTGGCTTCTTTGCTGGCACATCTTTAATCCACACAGTTTGTGAAATTTGATCTGCTTGTATAATCAATGGGACATTTCATGGCTGTATATACAATGCAATATTTCCTTCCAGGAGAAACCAGAGTACTTTATTGTTGTAAGACACAAGAGTCTCTTGAAATAAATGTCTTGCAGTGGTTAACTACGTCAAAGTTGGGGGGGGTTGTTTTTGTTTTGTTTTTTTTTGTTTTTTTACAGTGGTATTCTGTTGACAGTTGCATTAAAACTTTACTAAAAAACTGTCTTCTCACCTGTCTACTGGGTTTTTGTCTCTACCCTGTATTTCCTTCTGTAAGCTTTTTGTTGATACAATGAACCTTTACTGTCATTGAAGTAATCATACATGTTGTTTTTTATTTCAGGATTATTGGTTTTCTCTGGTGTTTAAGCATCTGGTTGGTCCAAGAGTCTTACAAGTGAGGGTGGCAGGTCTCCAGAGGAAACCACAACCAGGAAGAGTTATACGAGACAAGCTTCGTATCTACGCCCACTGCACCAGCTACTCCAAGTATGTGCTATGACTTTACTTCCTGGAACTACCTCATGTCTTTTCAAAGATACACCAGTCATTGTCTTTTTACATGATTTAGGAAAACACTTTTCATGTGAGACTGACACATATCCTATTTAGTGGTGTGTAGTAACATTTTGGGAATGTTTAGAAGAGCTGGATGAAAAGCAGACTTTCAATGTCCTATTCTCTCCTGTGAGCACCTGTGGCACAGCGTCTGGTGTAGAACAAAATCCCCAGCTGGCCTTTTTTTCAGCCTCTCATAAATAAGTCGACCGCAGACACCCGCTCATTCCCAGCTCAGAGCCCATAAAACTTAACGGGTATCACTTATCAGGAGTGTGGGTTCTATCTCCCTGGCGGCAAAGAGCTGCTGAAAGGTGCGCAAGGCCTTTATCTCATCTCGGATTGGCTGGAGGGGGGAATCAGAGGGGAAGGGGGAGGGACAATAAGGCGGTCTGTGCCGGGAGCAGATAAAGAGTGCCAACATGGTCTGTTCAAGGTTATCATTTAACCCAGACTAGCGGCTGTCAGCACCAGGCTAGACTTACTGCCTTACCCCGATGGGGCTCATTTACAGGTGGAGCATCTTTTTTGGAAAATAAAAGTGGGGCGCTGCACAGATAGATTGTGAATAAATGAGAAGGAGTTGCATTTGTGGGCTTGATGACAGGCACGCAAATACTTGAAATTGCTTTCAACACGTCAACTCCCTCAACCACCTCAGAAAACGACATGTGGCATTGCTCAGCTCGGCTGAATCCACCTATCAGCCGTGGAGCACTGCAGCTCACCCTGTTGAAGCCTGAGCCTCTTCAGTTGTCAAAATCTCTGCCACTTTGTGGCTTTAGTCAGTCCACAAGTGGATGAGCCATTGTAGTCCTTGTGGTTTGACTTCACTGTGTTAGACAGCAAAGACTACACATGTGCTGAGGCAGTCAGTGGTTTGAGAAGTCTTTACAGATTAGATATTTGACTTTCACCGCCCTTTTACCCCTTTTAGTGGTTTGCGATGCCAGTTTTTTTCTTCTTCTTCTTCTTACTTTGCAGAGGAGAGACTCAAACAGCATGAACATGTTTATGTTCCTGGTTTGGATCTTAGAACCTCATCTTTTGAAAGGCCCAAAAGGTCTTTATCTCTGCCTTCATCTCACCATCTGATCAGAGCCATGGTCCATGTTTCTCAAACACAGGGCTCCGAATGTTTAACACAGAGCCAGACACACACCGTTCCCATCAACAACAGAACACTACTTTATTTCTATTGGTAGATGTGTAGCAGCAGATATTCAGGGCCGCTGAAATAAAAGACTTGCACTGTGTCCAAACTCTTACCAGACACTTCCGCTGCATAAGATATGTGAGATTTTCTCGATGGTGAGTGCTAGAAGTGTCACTCTGTCTGTTTAGCTGAAGCACAGCCTTGACCACCAAAGCTGACATGTGGTTTTCACTACAGCGATGTTGTCTTTGTCCTCATATCTTGGTCCTTATTAGATTTTATCATGTTTGTCTTTTCTGTCTCTCTTAATTATTTACCTTTTGCCCTGCGTCCATATCAACTCGTGCCCCAAATGTAAAGAAAACAAGCTTCTGTCAGTGCAACTCTTGAGACGGTGTCCATCATGTCGACACCACACATCACATCAGACTTTACTTTCACTGACACCTGTGATTATTGGATGTTAACTGCACCAATTGCTTTTGATAGGATGATAAAAGCTTTGAAAATTCAACGTGGTTCAGTGTCATTCATACTAAATACAGACGATAAAGAACAACGAGGCATGTCCATCGTGAACATACTTTATCTCTATTATTTCTCTGTGGGCCGTTTGATCTTGATTGGATCAAGGAGTAGTGATTTGATTCTTTTACTATATGTAATAAAAATATCAAAGGCTCTCTTCTCTTTGTAGTCATCTTTAATTATAGAGAATTTTATTCAACATGGCAATGTAATATATAATGAATCCCCATTAACAGATGTGGTAGGAATTCATTTCTTTCCTCCTGTCGTGATCATCCTTTCTGAAGCTAATATTCTCTATGGTTCCAGTCACAACTACGTCAGAGGCTCCATAACAATCTACATCATCAATCTGCACCGGTCCCGGAAGAAAATCAAGCTGGCAGGAACGTTACGGAACAAAACGGTCCATCAGTACCTGCTGCAACCGTACGGCACTGAAGGACTCAGGGCCAGGTTAGTACCACTGGACTTGGACACTAGATGCCAAATCCACATTCTGTTATAGTATGAAGTATATATTATGGTCAATATATAGTAAAATTAATAATGAAGTATATGAAACACTTTAGGTTGCAATAAGAAAAATCATTAGAAAGAGTACTTTATGTTTACATTGATACTAACCATGTTAAAAAATCCCTGTGTGCTTCACGTCTTGGTAGTTTTTCACTGTAAAACAATAAAAGCTGTTGAACCACCACAATAAATACACACTTACTACACACACTTTTACACAGTAGCTTCACCATGAATTCCTCCAAGTAAAGTAATATAATTGGTATAACATTTTACCTATTATAGTTTGCAACTGTTATGACCACAGCTGTAATGGAACTAGCAAATGTAGCCATTAAAACCTTAACCAAACTTAATTTTGTGGAAAACCAGTCTCACTGCTGCATGACTTGCTCCTCTGACTCAGACTTAAGCACAAAATCCTGGTATAACATAGCCGTGTGTGTGTCTGTGAGTGTGTTTCCTGTGGCTTCATCTTCGTGTTATACGATACCAACCCACAGCTTAAATGGCTCAGTTATGATCCTTCAATAGCAGTGTGATGATGGAGGAAGTTTTTTGGTCTTAAAACAGGATTTAATGGCAATTAATGGAAGCGTTAGCTAACGATGGGCCTTCTGCAGACCTCCACTGCTTCCTGCTGCCACACGCACTGCATGGGCACTTTTATGAAAACTCTACTAACACCAGATGTCTATAAATTTCTCTTTGTAGTATTTTTTTTTTTAAATATGGGACAAGTTTTCAGGTTCATCCATGCTGACTGAATGTTTTGGTAATGCACTTTGATTCATAGATTTTATTTATTGAGCTGATCTTTATTTGTTTTTTATTGAATTTCAGGTTCACATAACAATCCTACCTACTGGCCTTAATCCTAATAATGTGGTTCACTTTACAGTGTGACCGCGCAATAAAATTGTTACCAGTAACAACAGCTCTTTGAAAAGTTTGAAAGGTGTATTGTAACAGTGACACTAGAGTACAGAGTGCAATATGAATTTCAGTACACATTGAAGCATTTTTGTCTGCTAAATGCATACATGTGTTTATTTGTTGATAAATAAGTTTTGATTTGGCTTTAAAATTTGTATTTTAATTTATTTTATTGCTTCAAACAGAAATTGTATATATATTGTATATATTGTATATAAGTTTTTTTTTTTAGAGCTACTGTAAAAATATGTCAGGCTGTTTAATTTGATGTATCTGTATATTAGATATTGAATCTGAATTTTAGGAATAGAAATAAAAACTTTTTGCTAAAATAAAATTTAATATAAACAAGCAATGAAAAAAAGTAGATATAGAAACTGTTAAAATAAAATCTCAGGTTTAAAATACGTGCAGTTGTGACGTTGCACAGTAGCAACAGCAGCACCCCCCAGTGTACGACACTGAAATCTAACCGTTACACAATAACTTTAAATGGTCTCTGTTTTTGTTTTTTCCTTTAAAATGGGTTCCTAAAAAAACTATTAGAAGTACATTGTACAAGTGTAGGATTAAGCAACATCTAGTGGTGGAGATGCATGTTGTCAAATATCTGTCATCTTCTAATCGCAGGTGAGTGTACAGTCATTAAAGTATTCTTCTTCTTATCATTATTATTATTTGTAGTATAGTATAGTATAGTATAGTACAGTATATTATAGCATAGCATAGCATAGTAGTACATTAATAATTTATTAAACATATTTTACTCTGTGACTGTCCTTATGTCCAGATACGTCCAGCTGAATGGGGAGAAGCTGGTCATGTCGGACAATGAGACCTTCCCAGAGTTGAAGCCTAAGACTCTGAGGGCTGGACGGACCATAGCTATGCCTCCCACATCCATAGGCTTTTACGTGATCAAGAACATTAATGCATACGCCTGTCGAAGATAACACGCAGCCTTCAGCTCTGAGACTGAGTCTCAGTGAAGCTACAGAAACCACAAGCCTTCAAGATCACTTCTCCAGGTAAACAGAGGAACACAGCCTGTGCTTTAACCAATTATTTCATTAATAAGGTTTCCATCAACCAACACATGCAAAAACTAGAACAACTGAGTTAAAGTAAGCCCATCTGGTCCATCATTTTCCTGTCAGAGAACTGCCCAAGCCCCCCGTCCTGGGCTGCACTGAACGCTTTTCCTGTTGTTTTCATGAACAGTTCCTCAGCTTCAATACTTGTACTAACGGTATTGTTTTTTCTATTCCTATGTTATCATCGCCCTCCCAGTAACAAAATTAAAAATAATCATACTCACTATTTGAGTTCATTAAGTTATACATTTTTTTCTAACGTTTTTGAAGGTTTGTCTTACAAGTATGAAAAGGCATGAGAGATGGATTTGTTCTGGTGTTTTGTTTTTAATCATAGAAAGGTCGGACCAACAGAGAATAATGTTTGTGTGTGTGCGTGTGTGTGTGTATGGTTAATCTCACCATGTCTATATGTGTTTTTTTATCGATAAAGCTACTGACATGTCTGTCCAGTCTGTTTGATTTGCCGCTGAGAGAAAGTCTTTTTTTTCCCTTTCTTGCCAGTTTCATCCTTTAATGTTCAGATTAGCAGGGACAGACTGTGATGCCGCAGCTGATGATTTTTTTGTTATTTTTATTGTCATTCATCATCTGTCTTAAAATCAATCCCACTTTTTTTCAGGTTTATTTTTTGTATGTATATCACCACCGATATGATCTCATTTTTCGTAATCCTCATATGCTGCTAGTCTTTTTTTTAAATATACATTATATATGTTCTATGTCATTTTGTACATTTTTGTACATTTGTCTTATTATCTGATGATGTATTGTACATAACAAAAAGTATAATGAAATTGAGCTTTTCAGCTTGATATGTTTACTTCCTTTCATTATAGTGACTTTATTTATAAGAGTTTTTGTGCTAATATTTCTTTTATATAAATATTTTTGCTAAGAATACACCTGCCCCAACACTGACACAGTTAGTGCTGTGGTGGGGAAATGACAGAGACGGACAGAAAGGATTAAACGGTTTATAGAACTTTCTTTTGTCCACAATTCATTTCATCAGGTGTTATTCAATATTATATTTTAAAATGTTTAACTTAAACCAAGCCCTAAAGACTTACTTAATAACTGTATGTCATACATATATGTCTGTTTTCTTAAGTTGGTTAGCTGTCTAAATTGAAACAAAAGCTAATGTGTCGTTTTAATTTTTTTTCATCAGGCAAATTGTTTAATGAAACGAAGTTCCGCACCAATTGTAGTCGCCATCGTTTCATCCTTTTCATTATGATGCCAAGTTACATTATTATCAAATGTCACTTCTCATAGTGATGAGTCTTGACCCAGGCTGACCTTTTGAGTGATGCTCCTTTTATACTCAGCCTGTATTACTGAACCTGGTATCATTTACATGTTTCAGGGATTTATTTCTAAATGATAAATAGAATTAAGTTTGCAAGTGAAAACACACAAAAAAAATCTTTGTTTTTTCCATAAAATTAAAGTTCAAATGAGTTTTTATTTCATTTTAGGAGAGTGCACCAACTTGTCTGGAAATGGGTTTTGTAAATGAGGACAATACAAGCTGGAAAAGGTTCAGTGCTGAAACCTATTAAATGTAATGGTTCTTTTTTTCCCTCTGAATGTTTAATAGTTTTATTTTAGAGATGTTTATATTTGTTTTGGAGAGTGATATTTTAATATGTGAATGTGTGGATATATATTATTTTGTTTATAAAAAGATTACATTGATAATAAACTCCAACAAATGCCGAAGAACTTGGACGTTTCTCAAGGAAAAGTTTTAAAAAGTGACATTTAACTCAGTAAGAATTGGCCTGGAAATGTACTGTATTGCATAACAGGAGATAGTTTGGAAATAACTGCGAGAGCAATAGGCTCATAAAAAGACAGTCATGCAGCCAAACTGCCGCGCTCAAGATATGACATCGATGTGACGCACATTGTCACAAGAAGTCAGAATGGAAACAGACACATAAAAGATGATTTATACGAAAATAAATTCCTGACTACACAGAGAGGGTCTATAAATAAACAATGTCATATTCTAGCAACATTGCTAAACAAAGGTAGTGAAGTATTAAAGCTCCCCTCACTGGTGCCTTCACTCACTCTCTCTCATAGACACAAACTGTAGCCAGAGCAGAGTCTTTGTAGTGGGAAAGAAACTGTCCTGTCTCTGCATGAGGGACTTTCTGATGGGAAACATCAAGCCAGGATGGGTTCAAACTACAAACCTCAGATTTGGCCCCAGACAGACTAAACCTGGGCCAGATCTGGCTCAGTGTCTGCTCATGCATCTGCTCGGTAGGATCATGTAGGGGAATGACAGACTGTTAAGATTCTCCGTGCCCTGATAGTGATCATGCATTTGCCGTTTGAAAACTTTTGGTCTGAGCATTGTTTGTGAGAACTGTACCGCACTGATGTTTCTATAGAAGGCAGTTCGGCAGGGAGCTGCACTGATGTTTCATGACTGTAAGTCATTAACACTGGCGGCCCTTCAAGAGCGTTGATCTAAAGCATGTACCTTTAATTATAGTTTTGTTTTAAGTTCCATTCATGGAAAATGGGCTTTTGCTTTTACGTAAGTCACAGAAATGTGGTCTCAGGAATGAACTTCTTCTTTCACATGTGGTTCATTTTAAACAGGTCGACGCTGCTGACATGTGAGAATCAAACCAGACTCGTTAACACCTGTTGCACAGAATCACTATCAAGGCCATGCTGTGCGTAAGGTTGTGTATATACAGCACTCACATTTGGATCAATAAGCAGACATGCCTTATTTACAATGCACATGAAAACATTAAAGACATGTTTGAGGCACACAGCCATGCAGTCAACCAGGCTGCACTTTCTCAAGAAAATTGCTTGAAGTCAGTCGTCGGTGACCAGCGCACGTTGAGCACACATACTCCTCAGTGGACATTCTGACATTCAAAGCCGGGTTTTATCATAAAGCTAAACTCTAATGACAACAGTTTGAAGTCACTTCCTTCGATGAAATTGAATTTTCTATCATTTAGGAGAACCCGACCTGTCTGGACCCGTCTGCGTGACAGTGTCTGCCTAGAGACCTAACAGTCAACCAGACCTGTTTATACTCTGACTCTGGGGAGACGTCCAACGTCCCCATGTCATTTCAACTGTTTACTGTGTATATACTGGAGTCGGCCTAAATAAGACATTCATGAATACTGGCTCCAAAGGAAACTCATGGACCTGATTAAACTTTGGCCCGAGATGTAAAACTCCTGGCATTTAAAATGTTTTTTGACCCATTTAAAGGTTAATAAAAAAAATAAATGTTTATCCTAAATGGGGATACTTTGAAGACTGAGCACAAGCTGTATGGAATATTGGTAAACAAATACATGTAGACTCTTTGAAATAGTTCAGTTTATGATTATATATGAGCCATTTGTTGTTTACTACGATGTTTGTTTGTGTGTCCACTTTGTGTGATACATGATACATTATCATACACATTCAGCAGCAGTTTCCACTTCTGGCCTTTACAGTAGGTAATTCATCTGACTATGTGATTTTTTTTCCATAATATTATTGGGTAACTTGCATTGAAAACATTGTTTTGTGGTCTGTTCCCTTCACCTCCTCAGCATACTGTAGAGCGGTGAGCTACAACGTCCTTGGTGGATGCTCCTTTTATACACCTTAACACAGACCAGAAGCTCCAGAGGTACCACAGTTCTTTTCTTTTCTTTTGTGAACTTTTCCTTTTCCTTTTTTGGAGTACTTTTCATGGGTGAACTTTTCCTTTTTTGGAGTACTTTTCATGTATTATTGTTTAAATGCCCAATGGAAAAATAGAAAATCATCAAAAATATATATTTAATGTATTCATTTTAATGTTTTGTACCAATATTCCTAATAACAGGGTTGTACATCCGAGAACCATTGATGTCTTTTCCCATTTCCTATAAATTGCCTCTGGATCAGAGTAAGTTGCTGTTGATAGTGGTTTAGAGAAGCTACTAAAAAACGAACTATTCATAAATATTGTTTCATGGGTTTGTTGTTAATTGAATAGTTAATGTATAATTTTAATGTATGTTTATTTTTTATTTTAAATTGTTAAATCCAGCATTACATTGCAAACAAAAGCCCCAAGTGTTAATCTGACCTAATCTAATCTCAGTCTGAACCTCGGAGCTGCATTCCACAGATACCAGGCTGAGCTCTGAAGCTCAACGTCGCGGTCATGAGCTCCACTTCAGGCCCAGCACATGACTTCTTTCTGCCCGGTTGATCATCGGACTCCAGTCGGCTGAGCTGCTGCTGCTGCTGGAGCCGGAGGAGGTGATCCACCGGAGAAAACTCAATCCCCGGAGCGGTATCTAAACACACCCTGCTGCTCCTCCTCAGACGCTCCTCCTCAGCTGATCCTCCTGTTTTAACGTCGGCAGAGTCGGTCACATGACCAGCAGGGTTAAACTGGTGCGGAAGGAAACAGCAGCTGACGCCGCGATGGAAGCGTCTACTCCCGCTATGAAGTGCACGAAACACCGGTGACCGAGCGCCGCCGCAGCTGCGGAGTACACACACACTGGAAGGAAATGAGAGGATCGTCCACGGAGTGAGTGACCACTTTGTGACACTACTGTGTGTAGGTCGTTTTTAAACGGCGTGACTATCAGTTGGTGGAGAACTCAGAAAGTTTGACAAGGGGAAGTTACTGCTGGGTTCGAGGTAAAACACGGGGTGTAGTGAACGGATCGGATCTGATTATTGAGACATCAGATGTACTGCTACATGGTGGGTCATCATTTAGTGACGTGATATTGTCAACTGATGCATAGGTTTGTGGTCAGACATTGCAGAACAATGCAATTCCTTTTCTTGGTTTTGCAGGAGTTTTGGGGTGCGATCCCTACTTTGGGAACCACTAACATATATGGTGTTTTTATCTTAAGCATTTAGAGTAACTTTTTTGTTTTTAACCAAAAGAAAAAAGACTAAAACAAGACATTGCTACTGAGCCACACATTCAATCTGACACATTTCTAGTCACTGTAATCCTTTGCGCACACACACGCATGCACACACACACGCACACAGGAGCTGTCACACATGCACAGCAGTTAAAATAAATCCTGTGAGGAAGGCAGCTTTGGACTTTTTACCCTATCATTATGGTGACTTTGTGATGACTGTCGGGTTAGAATCCCTCTGCCTCAGTACTCCAGGGACCTGATGTTGGAGTCGGCCCTCACACTCAGGACGATAACGCCACTATCTGTGGACACGCTTCAGCCGTGAATATCCACATACCAGACTGCAGTACTTTGTGGAATCCCCCCAGAGACTGTGGTATTTTGTTTTTTGGCTGAAGCCTTTTATTGTTTTCTTTATAGCACAGTGTGTGTCGGGTTCATGGAGTAAATAGTGCAGCAGGACAGAGCTGCATCTGTGGTCCAGATGAGGTGCTTACTAATAGCCAGTGAGAGTGCAGAGGTCCTGTTCCACTGGACCGACCCAGAATTTCAGCAGAGCATCCAGCAGCAGTATGGATCATCTCAGGAGGACGGACACGGGGTGAGTGTGTAGAAAAGTCAACAGTAGCAGATCTTTTTTCAGAGTCATCACTCTATTACTGTTTGTTTTCAGCTTCCAGCCTTTGAGGACAGCATCAGCACTCTGTTTGCCCCCATCATTATCTCCTGCAGCACCATGGTGGACAGGCTGGGTGACGGCTACACCTCCTTCACCACAGAGAACAACCACATCTACGCCCTTCACCAGGTCACTGCTGCCTCCATAATCCAAACCTGATTTTAGCCTTTTAGCTTTAAACAGCCCATAAATGGTTTTATTCATTGACAAAAATAACATTTTAATAAACACAAAGAAGATATTTTACCAGTAAACCTCCAGGTACATGTACCTAATGAACTTAAAACTCTAGCATCCAACCATCGTACGACTCGGTCTGATGACAAACAGACTCACTGTTGTTAAAAACCATGCGTGAGTTTTCAGTTTATTTTTGTCCTTTCAAAAAGGTTCTCATGTGAACATATAGATTCTCCATTATTATTTCCCCATGAAATGGTAAAAGCACTGTGTTGTCAGTGCACTCTTTAAAGTGGGGTCGGGGAGGGGGGCATGTTTGTCATGTGAGTCGGGTTAAAGAATCAAACCAGGGCTTTGTCTGCCTGCAGCACATGACCTGCCAAAACATCACAAACGCCATGAGGTCAGTTCAAAATCATCACTGAATATTCTCTTCTAGTTTGACGAGTGTCTCTACATTGCTGTGAACGGTGACGGCGAGGAGGATGAGGATGTTCTGAGGAGGAAGATCTATGTGATGAAGAAAATGATCGAGGTGCTGTTCGGCATGGTGACCCTCAGCAGTCAGCTCCTGAGAAGAGAGTAGGACACTTGACGCTGCTAGATGTGTGTTCACCTGACATGTTATTATTGGGTAAAATAAACTGTGTCGCTTTCTGCCACCAGACTCCGTCCTCAGGACACAGAGCAGAGAGCTCGATTGTGGAAACATCTCCAGGGTCTGCTGGAGACCTACAGCCACCTCAGAGAGAATGACCAGAGCTTCTTAGTGGAGGTGAAAACACAAAATGTTGCAGGAAGTTTTATTTATCATCGGGTTTGCCCTAATGGAGAGAAAGACGTTAGACTCATAGTTTTAATACTTTAAAACGTCCTGGTGCAATAAAGAAAAAAACAAAAGTCCAAAAAGAATTTTTAACTCTGCATAGCCCAACAACATGCAACCCACAATGCATTACTTGGGAGTCTGATTGTCTTAGTACTTGACTATTTAGTAACATGTGGAAATGTATAAATAAATATCATTATTTTTCCTGTTGTTGGTTAGCAGAACAGAACAGGAAAAGTTAAAAAGTTAATTCTTTTCTTAACAGTACATCCAGGAAAAACTGCATTTGGCTGTGTTTAGCGCCTCACGCTGGTACATTTTAACAACTTGGGGTCAACAAGTGCAACAAACACAGTTTTATATGAGACCTCGTTAATGAGAAGCAATTATAACCCACGTTGCTCTTCCAGGCAGTGGAGCGGTTGATCCACCCCACGCTGTGTGAGCAGTGCATTGAGTTCTTGGAGCGCCGTTTGGTCCAGCAGCTCAACAGCAGCACGGAGAAAGCGGGAGAGGAAGTGCTGCACGCCTTCATCCTGGTACACACCAAACTGCTGGCCTTCTACTCCAGGTGGTTACTCTCATATCCTCATGGGTTTTTACACCGTTTAACTTTCTCTTTATTAACAGTGTTATTTTCACAGTATTGTTGCTGTTAATTCCCATAGCCCATAAACGCCTGTATGTTAAAGTGAAAGTCACTAGATGGCAGCATTGCAGCTCATTTAATTAATCAAACCATATAGTGGTTTGTACAGGTAAATATCGGCATGTTGGATATCGGCAAAAAGCTAATATCGGACATCCCTAGTCTTTACACATAAAAAAATAATAAAAATCCAATATTTACAATATAATTTAAATTTAATCTCCCTGTTTTCTAGATCTGTCCAGTCATGACATTAATTTAATAATTTATGAATTAGTAATTATCAAATGATTAAACTCTACGTTCTCTTCCAAGCCGCAATGCAAGCACACTGGCGACCTCTGACCTGCTGGCACTCATTATCGTGGCACAGAACATGTATCCCAGCAGTGTGGACCTGGACGACTCCAGTCCTGAGGTGAGAACAAGTCAAACATCCAGGAGACTGGGGGGATTGTGCAGTACTGCATTGGTGTTTATTTGTTATTGTGCCATATGTGTTTGTAAAATGGTGGTTTTGTGTAGGGTGTTGTGCTGTACTGCAGTATCATGGAAAGTGTTTTTACTTCAAAACAAATGTCCCTTACAATAAAATATATTGTATCATTCTGTACCGTACCAAACAACATAGTATCATAACACATCATACTGTATCATATAGTATTATGATATGTAAACACAGATTTTTTTTTTATTGTCTCGACATGGTGTGTGTTCTGTTATTTTTTTCCAGGATGTTGACAGTACTTCAGGCTCCGGTCCTGAAAGTTTTTACACTCCAGAGCCGTCACCTACAGACAGGACCTCCATGAGTTCAGGTGAACCGTGAGGAACAGGTTGTACAGTCACAAGGTCTTTTTTTATTTTACTTACTGATGGATTTTTTACTTTCCAGACAAACCAGAGAGAGGAAACACCCCTGTGTTTGAATTCATGGACCCGGACGTTCAGGTGAGTTCATATTCCTGTAAATTTTCATGAATGATTTTCTGTTGAAAAGTGAACAGTTCTGTTGTTACATTAAGACTGTAAAACTGTGTTGAATGATGTTTCCAGATGGCTGAGGACAGTTTACAAGCTCTGGACGTTCCTGCTCCTGATCCCTCGACACCGCGCCGAGTCTTCTTAGAGATTTCCAGCAAAGACGGGCTTTATGCCATGATGCCTCACTCCATGTACTGTCTGCCCCTGTGGCCTGGCATCACACTGGTGTTGCTCACCAAGGTTCGTGGGTGTAAACAGGTGAATATTTTACAGTCACTCGTTCTTAATTAGGATTTGATTTAACGTTAAGCGTCTGCTTTTGTCCACCTTCAGATTCCCACCAGTGCCGTAGCCATGTCCATCTATAAGTTTCTGGAAGCTTTCACCAAGTTGGAGAAGTGTTTAGGTGAAGGTCAAGACAGTTCTGCTGCGTCTAGAGGTCAGCTGGCCATTCACGACATCCGCAGTAAACTGGATAAATTCATCAAAGCTCTGGGGCCCAGTGAGTTACAGGTAGGGGATTATATTTGCTCTCTGGTGTTTTGTGACAGTATTTTCTGAATTAAATATTCAATAAATTAAAATTCATTTATTATAACTCTCTATCCAAAATGTTTTGTTGTTGTTACTAATTACATTAAAAATGCATGTTTACTCTTTACTCAAATTTGTTAGGAAATATTTTTTATAATGCTACATACCAAATATCTTAAAAATATTGCTTGTTTTTTTTTTGTAAAAAATTAATAAATCAAAAAATCCAAAGTAGATTGTGTGAACAGGCTCAATATTTTGTGAGATTTTTCTATGAAAATATTTTTTATTTTTTCTTCATATCTAGTCTGCACAGTTACTAAATGTCTGGACAGAGTTCAAAAACCGAGCTTTTGTCAGAGGTGGATCTGGCTTCAACAAAGAGTAAGTCTGCTACAGCCCCCTGTTGGCCAAAGAGCAGCATAGCGATATTTTTGAACAATTGCATGAGAGTGACCTGATTCTTTTTATTCGGGACAGTCTCCTTCCCTGGTGTACGAGAATGAAAACCCAGCTGTGTGGGATTTATAGACAGTGTTTTCTGTCACCGTGTGGACCCGGTGACGTCACTCAACGTTTGTCCAGTAGTCTACAGGAACGGGCCCAGACCATGGTGCAGTGTGTATCAGTCTGATGGCTTTTGTTTTAAACATATTTAAATTAAAAATCAAACATCTCTGATTAAATTACCAATGTCACTGGGGGGTTTTTTTGCAGAGAAAAACTGATGGATTGGAGGGACTTCCTGTTGGTGAAGAGCAAACGAAACATCACAATGGTGTCATATCCTGTCACTATAAAGAATAACTCCACACCCAGCGTTGTCTTATCTCTCCATGTTTCCCCCTGAATCTGAGTGTGTTCTTCTTAATCCAACCAATTTCACTTACCTGGAGGATTTCCCAGGTCTCATCCATTTCATCTGTGTGGACCGATCCACCGGTCAAATGATTGCACCGTCACTCACCATCACTGAACGCACCACGTCTGAGCTGGGGAAAGGACCGCTGGCTCAGTTTTTCAAGAACAAGGTTAAACATATTTTAAAGGCTCATCTTCTCCATCATAAACTTTTTTGGGTGTTATCCATAAACTAAGAAGTGTTAGAATATTGTAGGTCATTAATGTTGATCTCTGTTGAAGGTGTGGAGTCTGGTCAGCACCACCAGATGCTTCCTGCGAAAGGGTTATTCCACGGTGACACTGCGGGACGGAGACTTCTACTTCTGCTACTTCCTGTGGTTTGAAAATGACACGGTGATTATTGTAGTTCTGTATTCTGTTGTAAAGTTTCTGTGAGCTAGCCAATGAAAATAAACTGGTCTCCCTTGAATTTGGTCTATAATTAGGTTGTATATAATAATGATGTCACTGATGTGTAAATATATATGACTTTATTATGTGATCAAACAGGGGTACAAGTTAGAAGCAGGAGACTTGCCTATCCTACCTGATGACTCCGCCCCCATTGGAATGCTGGCCTGGGATTACTACAGGTACACGTACCACCATGTGACTGATCTAATCCAAATATTAGGCCTGTTGACTGAAGACAGCTGTGTCCCACCAGGAAGCTGCAGAGGTATTACAGTAAGAGCCACCAGGGGGAGGTAGTGAGGTGCTACGAGCTGCTGACCGTTCACCTGGGGGTCATCCCCACGGAGATCATCCTGCAGCACTGCAGACAGCTGGCCAGCAAACTGTGGGAGCCTTCACGAAATCCGCTACTGTAGATACTGCAATACTACAGCAACACTGAAAAAAATCATGGACTTTTTCACGTTTTTGGGTTTTTTTTTGTAATACTGGAAAAAAATCAGACTTTTTCACGTTTTTGGGTTTTTTTTAGCACTTACATGGACAGTTTATTTGTTGCATTCACAATATCACTTCTAAACATGTACAATTATTTGTTTGTTATGATGATAATGTGGCTGTTTTTACTCTTTTAGTACTCCATAATAAAAAATAAAGCGTATGAAAAAATACTTAACATTCGTTTTAATAATGTATTTTATATGTTTTAGTACTCCATAATAAAAACTAAAGCGTATGAAAAAATACTTAACATACATTCGTTTTAATAATGTATTTTATATTTTTATACCATTGGCAGACTACCATTAGCAGTTGAAGATCCCGAGCTGTGATTGGATGATTGCTAGTTTGAATCCCAGTTCTCTGCAGGGCTGTGGTGTTGAGCAGGCACCAAAACTCCCACAATTCCTGAGCAAAGTAAACACGTGTGCTGTGTTGATCGCTTGACTCAAATGCCTCATGGCAGTGGCAGACTATAATGTGATAATCAACGGGCTCCCTCTAGTGGTACACGAGCAAAACCGATATCCATTAGGATAAGGTGAGTAAGTTTTTAGTTCCTGTATGTTCCCCTCTGTACTGCGTCTGTTTTAGTGCTACTTCATTCTACACTGCTTAATCTCATTAAAATACCCTTTAATCTGCGTGTTCCAGTCTTAGCTGAACAGAGCAGGATTTAACATACTTCCATATTGTAACATTATTTCGTTATATTTTGATGTCTATTCTTGTAACAGTTCATAATCCTTGATGTCCAGATGCAGTACCTGATGGTCAGATGAGGATTGCTGATGCTCAGAACATGACGCCTTATTTTAAATCTTCAACGATGAAAAGAATCCTGAAAGAAGGAGAACCTTCACAGAACAGTTAAGTAACAAGTATGTTGTGATTTAAAGGCATAGTCCTTGAATTGCTCAGTCCTTTTGTTTTCCATTCTTTTCTGAAGGCTGAGCATCAAATGGTCATCTTTTCTTTTCTTCGTCTGGAATTGATCCCAAAGTCCAAGGTCAAAGTTCACGGCGTTGCCACAGTATCGTCACTTTCTGCACTGCTAACTCCCAGAGCTCCTGTGAGGTCAGTCACTGCTCCTGCAGCCACCAAGTCTCTCAGAAAGAGCTTCTCAGCACTGACGTCATGTACCACCTGGATGTAGACGTTGAAAACGAGCCATAAATACTCTCTCACTGGACAATAGGTGTCACTGTTGATTCACTCACCTGTGCCTTCATAGCATCCATACGTATGGCCTCGTAGTAATGAAGACGGGCCTGCGGGTGCTGCAGGTCGTAGCCAAACCCAGCCAGACTCACCTGGTCACACAGCTGCAGAGCCATGACCACTGCTCCCACACCCAACGTCGGCACCATCTACTTGGAATAAGAAAAAGAAAACCATGAGCATGCTCTTATTTAAAAAAAACAGAAATCAGCTTATTTTTCTTTTTTTGTTTCAGGCTAAATGTTGTATTTATCTTGAGTTTGAAGATTTATTTTTCATAAGCTGAAATGTGTGGGGAAATAAGCAGCTGCAAAGGCCAAAGAAACGTGACCCTTGGTTGATGCTCCTTTGATGCCTGACCTCATTGAATGTTACCCTTCAGTCAGGTATCACGTCTGGTTAAACCTTTCCTGTGAACTTTGAGGTATAAGAGTGAATGTTACTCCTCACATTTCCTGGTTTCATAGCATATCTCTGCAGAGCTTGACCCGTCTTGTGAATAATCTCTGGATGAAGGATCCTGAAATGTTCTGGTTTCAGAGGAATGTCCTCCACCACCTCCCTCCAGAACCACAGTTTGGACCAGAAGCTCTGAAAGAAATCACTTGAGTTGTAAACCTTTGGTGATGAAGCGGTGATGTCAACAACACACTCTGTCTTATTTGATGTGAGTTTGTACCAGAGGCTGTTTGGTGATGACAGACGTGAGCCAGTCCAGGTCCAGGCTTTTGAAAACCACCAGAGCCACCATGCTGGTTCTACTGTAGTCTTTTGCAACATGTGGCGCCCCCTCTGGGTAAATGAGACGGATGGTGGTGCGGGAGCCAACGTCCTTTTCAAAGCCATGAACTGGAGCATTATTTAACCTCGGAAAAGAAAAGAAAAAAAAATTGATTTGCTTTTGTTTTATTAATGCTGTTTCTTTCCTGTCTTTACGGTTGTCCTCACAGGCAAAGCTACCTGATGATGACGTCGTACTGATCTATGTGAGATCCCAGATGACTCCCATGAAGAACCCCTCCGTTGCCCACCACCATACATCGCCTGCAGCTGCCCTCTCTCCTCAGCGATGGAGGCAAGCCATGCTGAGGCAGGGAGGCCAGAGCCAGGGCCAGATGTTCTTCACTGCCCTGGAGACCCAGAGGAGGGGACAGATCCCAGGACACACGTCTGTCCTGCTGCACAAACACAGGGATGTCCATTAGGCCCGAAGAGCAGGACAGGGACTTCAGATGGTCCAGGCACCAGCGAGGCTGACAAGGTCCTGACAGCAGGGCGGTGGAGCTGTTGAATAAAATCTGGGAAGAAGACAAAACCATAGGAGACGTTTTAGCAGTGTCCTGTCCTGACTGATGATGCTCCAAGGTGACAGCTGGGGGATTGTCCTCACCAAATCTTTGGAAGGTTGGAACTCATCGGTGTTTGGAGTTCCTGTCTGATCTGCTGGTAAATATACGGGAATCAGAATGGCTGCGTAGCATCCAAGTAACAACACCAGACTGAAGGCAAGATTCTGAGTCCTTAACAGAAGGGAGGAAGAAAAAAAACAAACAAGATCTCATATTTACATTAAATACAACATTGAACATCAAAAACCAACTGATAAAAACCGACTTCAGGGAATTGATCTATGATCCTTTTATCAACAAAATCTATGTTTTAATACATTTGAAGTCACCTGCTGAGAAAGAACTGCCGGGACACCGTCTCTGTCTCTGTGAACTCCTGCTGCCGGTGAGACACAGGCGCAGGCGTCGTCGCCTCTGCAGCCTCAAGAAGCAGTGGACAGACGTCGTCCACAGTCAGGTAGCTCAGTGTCACCATGCTGCCTGTAGTTTACACCAGAAAAACACACATAGCATTGGGCTTTAATGTCTACAGCATCGGCAGATTTCTCAACTCAGTCACCAAGACTGTCTTTCTTCACCATTTCTACATATAGTTCTAGTCAAATGAATGTTGTTACTTACACAAAGCCAGTTCACCATGTCTTTACCTGAGCTTCATGTCCAGTGAGCTTCATGACCGAGATGGCTAAAGCTAAAATGGCTGCAGCAGCCTCCTCGCCTCCTTTCCTCCCTCACTGCCGACCTTTGTCACCTCCCTTTAATAACACTGGTTAACCATTAATGTGTCACTCAGTCCCTCTCTGCTGGAAATGCATCTGAAAAGTGAGGGAATGTGAAGAATAGCTAACTGTGTCACTTAGAAAAGGGAAAAACAAAGCTGTGAGAGGGAAGCGGATTTATTTTAAACTACAGTTTATTTTTATCACATTTATTCAGATTCCTCTTGAGAATGTCTATCCAGAGCATTTGTTTTAAATTCTTACGCAAGCTGGGTGGTTTTTAAAATTAAAAAAAGAAAATTAAAGCTAAAGAATTGTTTAATGTGTTCAGAATTTTAATTCGTTTTCATAGACTAGTTAATTTTTACATTTACATTTTACATCTCTCCAAATATTAATGCGACTTGCCCAAATTTTTTCTGTAGAAGTAAAAACATGATTTTTCTTTGTTACAATAACAAAATCCCCTTTAACAAGTGGATTTTGGAACAAATATTCGCAGGTATTTTGTAATGTTATTTCATAACAAAATCCCCTTTAACAAGTTGATTTGGAACAAATATTCGCAGGTATTTTGAGGTACAGATGAATTCAATAAAGATGGAGGTAGATTTAAACATTTATAATAGTGAGGTGTTAAAAAAAACCCAAAGAAACAGAGGGTGAGTTTGTTTGTGTCAGCCAGGAAGAGAGAGTAAATAGATCTGACACACGGCTCATGCTCACACACACACACACACACACACACTCACACACTCACACACACCACAGGGCTCACACACCTGTTTGCAGGGTTAACACTGTGTCCCATTCCTGTCCAGCTCCTGCCCTTGCACCACCGCTGGATAAAGACACTCAGAGCCCCATGACAACTTCTCTGCTTCTTCTTCTCTTTGTTTTTATCCTCCAGACTTTTCGTTAAAGTGAAGCAGGACTTTTTGTTTTTATTGAGGAAACAGCCATGGAGGAGGAGGAGGTGGTGGAGCGGACAGCCACTGGGATGGACTGTAACGCAGAAGTGGAAGAGCAGGTTCAGGTTTGTGATGATCAAGTGTTTTATAGAAACACAGACACCACAGACAGAATAACAACTTGAATGTTGATGATTCTTTTCACACATTTGGGTTTGTGATTATGTCCATCACGGTCTGTCAGCTTCCCAACTTTAACTGTAAGAACTTGAAAAGCACTAACCCATTAGTATGTTTCCCCCAAGGGGGATGAATAAAGCCCTACTCTACTCTACTTTTGGTTGCAGTATTGAAAATAGATTTTTTTTTTTTGAGGTAATTTCTGGGCATAGAAATAACAAAATTTGGTTGCAGTGTTGAAAATAGATTTTTTTTTTTTTGATGTAATTTCTGGGCATAGAAATAACAAAAAAGAAATGTATACAATAGAAGTAGACATGTAGACTGATGGAAATTTTATTAAAAAATGAAATACATACAAAATACAGTTTTTAAACAATACATAAAAATATATTGTAGTGAATAACTTGCCTTTTTTCATCAGTCAAGCTAACGTCACTAATTATAGCCTACAGCTTTAGAGTTGAACAGCGGTCTGGACTGTTTTGCTTCTCCATCTCCTCCATCTATACAGGTTTGTTTGTCTAATGTGTCCGGTATGAGGCAGATGGAGCCTATTCTTATCAGGTTAACATTAAGGCATTCTATATTATGCTAAGCCTGTGTTTTATGTCTATATTTACTCTAATGTAAGGCCCGGTAATGAGAGCGTATTGTTCTACCAAGCCCTTTGAAGACCACACGCTGCACAGAGAAGCTGGAGTTCAGAGAAGACAGTGAAGATTAGAGACAAATCCCTGCCAATGATGATGGACATTTTTCCTCGTCATTTGGCTTCGAGAAGAACGAAGGCAATAAATTCAGTGTTGATCCAGGCTGGAATCTGGAATCTTAGATCGTTGCTGTAACGAGTCACTTGTCTATTAATATCAATCACATTTAATTACCTGGAACAATTTCCTCAAGCAGGTTCTAATTACTTGTACGTTCTGTGTGTGAATGGTTGATTTTCTCTATGTGCCTCATGAATACTGGGATTGGGTTTATAAAAAGGATGAAGCAGCATAAGGTGAATGAATCAATGTTTAAATTTCGTTTTTAAGGCAGACAACAGAGTGAGGACAATTTCCTCCAACCTGAACTCTCACAGTTTGGATGTGGACATAGAAGAAAATACCATTGATTTCACAGAAGCAAACCTAACAGCACCATCTGTGGAACCTCCTGTGGTGAGCTTCAGAAATTATATTTTTATTTGGTAGAAAAATCATTTAATCAGTGTGATTTAATTCTCTCTCTCTCTGTGTCTCCACTGACAGATGAACAGCGTGGATGCTGCTGCCTTCATGACTGCAGCTGCTCAAGGCAAACTGGAGGTAGTGGACGAGTACCTGGCAGATGGTGGGAGTCCGAACGTCCACGACGAGGTACGGCTGGCTGTGAATGAAGAAGAGTGAGTATCATGGTATACATCCTTACTGTACATCATTTGCTGTGTAAATATATGGCAGTTGAAGAGGACAGCGTTGCACCGCGCATCAATAGAAGGACACACCACAGTCGTCCAAAGTCTTCTGGAAAAAGGGGCAAATGTCAACTTCAAAGATCAGGCAAGACATTGATGTCAATATAGGAAAAATCTAGACACATAAGAGACAGAAGTCAGTGCTGATAAGTCCTAATATTCATACGTGCTGTTCTTCCAGCTGGAGTCCAGTGCCGTACATTGGGCCTGCAGAGGAGGAAGTCTGGAAGTTGTCAAGGTCCTGAAGAGTCATGGAGCAGATTTGAACCTCAGAGATAAGGTGGACTGACATCTATGGACTGTCTGCATGTACATGAGAGTTCTACAACTAAGACATTAGTAGTGCTGCAATATATTTTTTGTCTTATTGATTTTAAATCTGTTGCAGTATTGGAGCCAGCTGGATTGAAAATACACAATATCTACATTTTTACTTTTTTTTCAGAATTGTGGAATGAAAATTCAATTTTCCCTAAAATGAAGTCAAATATAACTTGAGTTTAAAAATTCACAAGATAGAGAAAATTTGAAAGTAAATTTTTTTTGACTGTTGTAAATGTTATCACATATTTATGTTTAATTTTAAAATTAATTTAAGACCTCAGAATATAAAAATTCATAGAATTATACTTTTTATAATTTTATAATCAAGCATAAGGGTTGCTTGAGACTTGTTTCTGGCCCTGGGCCACATGTTTGATACCAGTGTTCCTAAGTGATTGTGATACAGTGACTGTGACTGTGATTGTGATTGTCCACCCTGCAGCTACACAGCACACCTCTGCATGTGGCCACTAGAACTGGACATGTCAACATTGTGGAGTACCTGCTGACCTATGAGGTCAAGGTCAACCTCAGGGACAGGGTAAAGAACAATGTTAGGGTTGAGTTTCCATTATACAAATTTTAATATAAAAATAAATATATAAAAAATGCATCGTTCCCTCAGGAAGGAGACACAGCCTTACATGACGCCGTGCGCCTCAACAGATACAAAATAGCAGAAATGCTCATCTTTGCAGGAGCTGACACTAAAATCAAAAACAGTGTAAGTCGTTCACATACTTTAGAAGAGAAAATCGGTCAGTTTAAAATGTGTGATGTCATTTTATATGGACATATACTTTATCTATAAATGTCCTCTGTGTTTCAGGAGGGAAAGACGGCGGTGCAGCAGGTTAAGGAGTGGCAGCTTGACATCCTGGAGACACTGCAGAGGCTGGAGCAGATGAAGGTGGTGGAACACGTGTCATCTGAAACACCTCAGGAGAGGAGTGAATAAAATATAGGTGTTTTTCAAAATATATTTGTTGTAACTTTCTCGCCTCAGGTTCAAAATAAATGTTTTACTTAATATGAACTGAGAATTTTAAAATCCATTTACAGCAACTAAACTATAATAATTCACCTTTGTAACTTTTTCTAGCTAGTTAGCTTAATGCTAGCCTAAATAACAGAGACAACGGGCCAGGCCAAGCACAGTACAGTCCAGTGCGGTTGGTATGAGGCTCAGGTGTTAGGTGTTAATACCAGTGATAAATATATGTGCTCTGTTAAAGTCAGGGATTTGGGGGGGTAGGGGAGGCTCAGCAGACATATTTTCCCTCTGTCATCAGCAGCTCAACTGTTCATCAGGTGGAGGAGCAAACCTCCTGACCCCCCGCCTTATGATAAAGGTCTCTTCTGAATACGGTGAGTTCTTTAATTCACGGATATTTATTTTCAAGAACAAGTTTTTTTAGCATACATTAAATTAATAAATACTTATGTATTTACTCGTTAAACTATGTTTAGCCGTGGAAATCTCTTTTTCGTGGATCAATGTGTCCAAGACAGACAGTTACAACCTTCAGCATTAAAACACAAAATCTTCAAATTACAAGTACATTATGAAGTATATGTAGTTTTTTTTTTTTTTTTGTATATTGTTTAAAGGCGACACGCAGCTGCAGCCTTCAGTTGAACACTAACCCAGACAACTCATCAGATACACTATCAGCTGCACACACTGCTTCCTGTTCCAGCCAAGGCTAAGTGTTAACTGTCAGGGTCTGGAGGACACAGATGTGTAAACAGCACAAGATCACTCAGTCTGCACGAGACAGTCTGCACGAGACAGCGAAATAATTGGGAGACCACGGTCAAATTAGACATGGTTCAGTTTATTTAACTAAAAAAAGCTAATTCAGACGTGTTAATGACGGCTCTTCTCTTCAAAATATTTTAGTGACAATTGTTTAGATCAGGCTTTGGATGACGACATCACTCCCAAGATTTGTTTGGGTTTGTGTTTCTGTCGAAATAATTTGGATTCAATCAGATGATCATGATGCATAATAAGTGGTTAGCAGTGAAAAGACCATTAATACTGACAAGATTCTTAACTCAATTTGCAGAAATGGAACTCTCACAACTCCCAGACTCTTCTTGGCTGCTCACACCCATTACTGCAGCTGTTCCCTGGTCTTCAGTGAATAAACTGTCTTCTGCTGTGGCCCAGACATCTCTGAATGAAAATGTGCATTTATATAAGGTATGTGGATCTGATTGTTTTTTTTTTCTACAGCAGGTTTCCTCGTCCAAACACTACGTACGAGTCTAAACAAAACATCTTGAAATTCACACGTACACCTGCCTTCCTAAAAGAGTCTAAACAAAACATCTTGAAATTCAAGTCTTATCACGGAAAAATTCAGGGCTCAAACCAGGGATGTTTTTGCTGTAAGTGCAGTAGCGCAAAGCATTTTAGGCAATAAAAAGTGAAATATTCTGCTTCAAGATTCTGTGCAGAATTCATTTAAACCTTAATTATTTAAGCACATGCTGTCATTTCCATCGTCTAAAGCCTGACATACGCTCATCCTTTTGAAGATGATACTGTGCACTAGTTTTACTCTGAGAGCCTGCAAAGCAGCGTTGCATTGTTAGTGTGGGAAAAAGGTAACCATGGCAATGGTGTTTTCCAGGCAGGTAAAATCTGGACAGACACACTCTGAAAGCACCATTCAGTTCTACTGAGAATGGAATGGTGATATTTCAGTGTGTTCTGTGGAAGTCAGTCAGTTGTGTGTGAGTGAAAGAGGCTTAACTCTCCAACATAATGGGAGTGAAGTGGGACATGGTTTGAAATACAGCCTATTATTCAGTTCAGGCTCATACAAACACACGTGTCCTCACAGATACAGCAGCACCGACACGTGTTCTGTTTTTATCTGGTTTTTCTGTCACCACAATCATCATTCTTTTTGATTGCACTTAGAGGAGCATATTAGACGCCAGTATCTCTGTGGGCTCATGATTGAGTATTGATTTTGTTATTGTTCATTGAATATAATGGCTGTTTCACACTTGAGGTTACTGCATTCTCTACAATAGAACTGACTAGAATATTACTTGGACTGCAGCTTCTTTTGGTTATCTTTGGGAACACAAGAAACAGGGTTTTTCGTTTTCACTGCACGTGAGATTTGGTTTTCCTTGATGTGGTCCTTTTAAGCTGCTGCTGCTGCTGACACCAATGTGTTAAGACAGAGGTGAAGTAGGACAAAAAATATTCCTAAAATATACGTTTTCTGCTAACAGATTATGGCATTTGTTCCTGCATTACGGTGTGTTCCACCCCATGGGGGTTCTGGGTATAACACGGGTGTGGAAGGACAGCAGAGCAAATTAATTTAATTTTTAGTATTTTTTTTATTTGTGCCACAGTGAGGGGGTTGCTCTGACTGGTAATTTAATTTCCATCTTTAAAGAGAAGAGCAGTTTTTTGTGGGAATTACAGTGTTGGTCAGTAGAGATATGAAGCAAGAGTGACCAGGAGGGACAGGACAGTTAAGGTGGAAGTTTGGAGTTAGGCTTAGACAGAAGAGGTTGAGATGGTTTGCACATGAGCTGAGTGAGTGAATGTGATTTAGGTTAGTGCTCTAGTTTGAATCAAATCAATCAGTAACATTTTCTGTGCAGGGTTTACAATTTCTCTCTGTCTACGTTTGTTTTCCTCCCAAAGTCCATAAACAGCAGGATTACATTGTTTTCTCTGGAATAAACATAGGTTAAAATGTGAGGACAGTATAAACAGTTGTCTCTGTATGTGGCCCAGTGATGGACTGGGACACTGATTGCTGGGATTAACTGCAGCTGCCAACAACTATGAAAAGAATGAAACAGCATAAAGTGAACAGATAATAACTTTTGTGTTTTTACCTGATTAAAAAAAAAAATTCGAGAACATTACCAATTGACAGTTTAATTTTTATTGCATTCTTAGAAAGTGTACATACTGTACATTTCAGGAACAAAATGGGTTCATAACAAAAACTTGATTTATGTAAGGCCTAATAACACTTCAAGTACACTGATTTAATGTGTAACCGTACACTGGTAATAACCGTAAACACCGATACATGGTCACACTGTCAGTTTACACAAGTCAGGTAACACTTTGGTCTGTCTCCACCGATATGACAGACCAGAACCGACACGGTAACACAAGCTGCAAACTGCCATCGACAAACATTCCAGACAAAATCAACAGCTAACATTTAAATGACAGACTCTGAAATACACATATGATAACTAAACAGATCTATAGTTCAGCTGCCTCGTAAAGGTCTACCTTAAGGTATAGGTCCTAAGTTAAAGTCATCCAGTTATATTTATCAACCACTGATGAGGATGAGGGTTTCAGGGTGAAACGCGCCATGTAAAAAATGAGTCTTCAGTCAATTCTACTGGGAGTGGGAGGTTTTCAGGAAAGCTGACAGCTGCCGGACTTGTTAGTGACAGAAACTGAAAGTCAGGCGCAGCTTAGCAACAGCTCTGAGTGAAGTGTGAGTGGTTGACAGACTCTTTAGAGCAAATGATGCAGGCAGGAAAGGAGAGGCGGGGGGTTGGGGGATTGTGCCAACTTCAATTTTCAGACGGACATCTTTTAACTATGGAATTTAAGGCATATGTGATTCTTTTGTTTTTTTTTCTTCTCGTCACCAGATGCTTCCAACGAACGAGAGATTCAATAGGAACACTCGTCGGAGAGATGAGATTATTAAAAAATGCCATGTCACTTACTGTATCTGCAACCCTCACGTTTTTTTTTTGTACGAAAACACACTGTGAGCCAAGAGTGTGAGATACAGTTACTGAACTGTAACAGCGTGACTAAAGGCTGATGCTGCTGAATGTTTCAAAGCTTGTGTTCTATAGGTGCATGCCAGTGACTGTATATGAAGATGAAAGACAAACCTACACAAACAGGGTTTAAAAATAACGACAAAATATTGCACCATAGGCAGTGTCCTCTTCTTTCTGCCTGATTCTGAGCAGTCAAAAAAAGCAGTGATCATCAGAACGATCAGGTCACTTCCTGTTTTACAGCATCAAATAACTAATAAGGACCAAATCAGACCCAGAAAAATAATAATTTGGACAATAATCAGGCTGCTGTTCCATCAACAGTCCAAAAAACGTAGCTGTGTAGAGCTACCCATGTTCCCCTCTCGTAATGACTTGCAGGTATTTGATACAGTATGTACTCACTTTACATGCCCCCGCCCCACCACACACACACACGGTAGCAAAAAAAGAAAAAGCTCTTTAAAATACCACATGTGCAATACCTGCTCATAAAAGGTAAAGGACCACCGTGTTCAGTTACTGTACGGCGAAATCTGGCAATTTTTCACACTTAACTCTGGATTTTTGGTTCAACAATATTGCCTGGAGAAAGAAAATAATAATAATTTGTTCCCAAAGTCCTGTGAGCAACTATAGAGTCTGCACTTTATGTTTGCCTTGCAACAGCCAACGTCTAGATGGAGGACTCGATCTGCGTGAGACTATTCAGTTTTTTTCTTCTTCTACTGACAGAAAGTGATGACCTTGAAAAAACAGCCCTGTATCAGAAACTGCCACATTTCTCCTTCAAATACGACAGCTTACAATGTAAAGCAATACTCATCAGTACAACAGCAAAACAGCAATATTTCGAGTGTGCTTCGTAGTACTGTGCATTTCTACCTTGTCATTCAAAAAGCCATTGTTCCGTCAAATAGCATGTGTAGCCCAAGCTATTGTAAGAAACTAAATATTACAATAAAATATTTGAAAAAAACCCCCGAAACAACCCACAGAGACAAGTGCCGGAGGACAGTACAGAGAAGAAGTCTGTGATGCTCTCCTAGAAGGTGCTATAACCCTGACCCTGTCTCCCTCAGGGTCCATGGTGGTCAAAGTGTGAGACCACGAGCATTTGTGGCTGAAGCTTGTGCACGCTGCACCACTCCTGCACACTTCTCTCTCTTCTGGAGTTTGTGGTTTTGAAACAAGCCCTCGTTGCGTGGGACACCATGAGCTCCGTCTGGGAAGGTGAGGAGCCCTGATGGCACAAGCAGAACATTTTATAACCGACCACAGAGAGACAACACTGACACTATGAGATGGACACATTGTTCCGGCAATGAAAACGTAGACGTACCATATCCTTCGACACGACCATCTTTGAATTCTCCTTCAAACTTCATGCCATCGTATCGACTGAAGACTCCTGTACCTTGAAACTTTCCATGAGCAAATTCTCCCTCGTACCTGATGATGGAAGGAAATAAAGAGGTGTAACTTTGGACAGAGTGTAAGAGATTCTGACTCTCTACAAAGAGTTACACAAACCTGGACCCATCTGTGAAGAGCAGTACACCAGAACCATGGAAGAGTCCGTTCTCAAATTGGCCGGTGTAGCAGGTCCCATCATGAAACTTAAGCTGACCGACTCCATGCCTCCGACCTGTGAAGTTCACACACCCCAGTGAATAATGACTCAACTAGAAACACATCGTGTCAATAAATACTCCCATTTCAAACTTTTCAAATTTGATCAGAAAAGCTGAACGGTGCATTTCAACTTCCAACTATAGTGAAGTATTTTATATTCTGTAACAACTGTAGAACCACATGCCTTGTCACATGTGTCAGATTTAAGTTCTCACTCCTCTCACCCTGCCCCCACCCTCTGTCAGCTCAAGGTTTACTACTGAATTAGGAGTCCCATCTGCCTCCCGTGCAGTGAGAATTATAGCAGTCTAATCCGTCAGATTTTTTTAGCAGGAATTTCCACTTTAAAACTAACACTAGGCAAATGGTTCAAGAATGTTCTTGTGCATTCCAGAACTGACTGCAGCTGATGAGCCGCAGCTAAGAATTTCTGAGAAACTCTTAAATGTGCCTGAAAGAAAGATAAATCTTTTTTATTTTAGCTTCATGGAAAAAAAGGCAAAACAACAGAAAACATTACATTTAAATTTGATCTAAAACAAAAATTATGTCTATTTTTCTTTTTTTGGTAGGTGACAGAAGTCGATGAAGGATTTTTAAAACGTGTCTGGAGTCTAATCCAGGAGTTTCAACAAATCCAGTGCTGGTTAAATCTGGCTCTGCTTGTCATAAGCTACTATTGCTAACTATGCTAACTAAATGGGATTTGGCTAAATAGCTTTGAGTTGCACGTCACCAGCATCACTGTCAGTATGTAGGAGAAAAGGAGAGAGCCAAAACAATAAAATCAGCTTTTTATTTTTCACATTGGAACAGGATTTTATATGATGATCAAATAACAACATATTACTGTCAAACGTTTATACATATTTAATAATAGTATATTATAATATTTATAAATAATAAATAATGTTATGTAAAATTTAAAACATGTATGGAATATATAGATATGTAGATATAAACAGATTATGTCAAAATGATGCATATAAAAATATTTTAAATATGTGCATTATGCATCATGGTCAGACCATTATTCAGTGAATAAAGACAATTTAAATATTTTAAAATACCATCACTACATGGCAGCTTATGTGCAGTACAAATTCCTGAACATAAAATGGATATAAACACTTACAAAGGTTAAAGTACATATATTTTAAAAGGAATTCAAAAGGCTAAACATCCCATACATGATACCGTAGATTGTTCAATGAAAGGTTAATATGAGGTCAGATCCAGGTCATGTCATTACATTTCTCATATATACAGCATATACATATAACAACGTAGCAGTTCATGCTGTAATCAAACATTGTACATCTAGCACTGAAGCGTATGTTCTGTCTGTCAGCACCTCTCCAGCTCTTTTGTTTTTTAGGTGTCGAGTCAAAAAATGTCCTGAGGATTAAATGCACCTCAGAGTCCAGTCTGTTTTATCTCTCTAGTCATCCTGCTGATGCTCACACACAAACTTTACAGGGGTGAAATATCCTACCTTCTTTCCATTCGCCGTGGTATTCCTCTCCACTGGCGTAGGTGAAGGATCCTCTGGTCAGAGTCATGGTATCTCTGTTTTTTACAGACACAAACACACATTAGGCTCATCTACACCACAACCGGTAAAGTATATTTTGTATTTTTGTCAAATGCTGGTTAGTGTAAAGCTAATGTTTCATAACATGCAAATTAATCATTGGTGGCTGTGGTCCTGTCCTCAATACAGTGAAAATTATTCTATAAACTGTTTAAAAAATTCTCTTAATGTATCGTTATGTAGCTGGACATTGAACTAGATTTGAATCAATAGATAGCGGCAATGAAAAAAATTATGTAATCCACATGGATATGTACGTATATATATATTTACCTACATATTTACCTACATATTTTAGACTTTATTACAGTTCTATTGATGGTATTTCATATTTACTGGTCGGTATTAAATTAGCACCTATTGCACTGGAGGCTTTGCATGCTGTTTAAATTAAATATATCTTATCTAAAGGTATTACCTTTTCAATAAACGTGACTGTAAATACAGACATAAAAAAGAAATCGCTGGAGAACACACTGATCAGTTTGAATCTATATCTGTGTAACCAAACAGCACTTGGGTGCAATTTCACCCATGCTGTCGCCATGGAATAAATAATTAATCAGCTCACATTTGGACTTAAGGTTACAGTAAACGTCGTGTCCATATTTAAAATGCTGCCCCTATGAGTAGTCTTCGTGCTGCCTTTGCGTGCATTATTTCTTAACACACGTTATCGTTTAATTTTATTGTAATATAACCGACCGTTCTCGGTGACAGCACACCAATGGACACAGTGCAAACACCTGTTATTGCTGTCGTTTACCTGAAAACTGTGTTTGTCGTCTCTGAACCATGGAAACCAGCGACAGCGACAGCGACAGAGGGGCGTAAAAATATATATAAAAAAACACCGGCTGAGAAACGTATGTTGCATTCAGGTGCGGTCGGAAAGCTCGAATATCGAAAAAAACAATATTAAATAACGTTTAATATATCATGTAAGTGTGATTATATGTGTTATATTTCAGATAGAACATTGAAGTACGATTGCGGTTGATTGAATCAGAACATTGAAGTACGATTGCGGTTGATTTTACAGATATCGTTTGATTTGAACACAACAGGAACTGTTTTACACATTTGTGTGAACGACGAAGGACAACAAATGCAACATTTTGCTGTTTACCATGCTTGTTAAACAGAATATCAATAAATACTTTAAAACAAAATCTTACAGAAACAATTCCCCATAATATTTGCGTTTACTTCGAGTATGCTGTAACATCAAAAATAAAATAGCTCAAAAGCCAACATTTCCGTACAGTACCTGAAGCTAGCAATACAGCAGCACTGCTGCCTGACAGTAGCGCTGTTTCACTGAGATGAATCATTTTCTATATGCAATTTCTCGGGCAGTAACTAAAATAATGTTATGTTAATAATAATAATGTTAACTAATAATGATATTAACTAAAACATGTCACACATTTTATCGTAGATAATAAATGTAATATTGTGTAATTATCGTGTTTTCCATAAAAAGGATATTATAAAAAGGATGTATAACAACGTTTCGTTTTCGTTCACGATCTCTGTCAAGGTATCAGGAAATTAAATTTTCCATTGTATCTAAAGGTGTAGTATCAGACAGATGGGCTTTCCGTATAGGGTTTGGATGTTCTCCAAGATTGTGCATTGGTTCAATTAATAATTTTGGAAATTCATGCAGAACTATGCAGAAAATGAATATGATTAACGGAAGACTGTCATTTGTCTAAAAAAGGTGAAAGTGAATGTTAAAGTTTGTTTGTGTATTTAAAGGAACCCTGCACAAACAAAGGTGCTGAACAAAAATCCTCTGCTACTGTAGTTTTGGGAGTAGCCTGTTTGTTTTTCATTTATCTTGTTTTTTCAGGGGTATAGTAAAGATAGTGTGATTTGAGATAGTCGTCAGTGGGATAATGATAATGTCAATTTATGTTAAGCCACTGTGTTAGGGACTGGCAAAATGATAATTTAAAAGAAAAAGGGAAGGACGTGGTTAAATGTGTGGATGCTAAAAGTAGCTTTGCACTAATGCCTTTGATATTGTTACAGTCCATTAGCCTTTGTTGTATTTTTAATGGTACATGTAGTAAATTTATCCTGTGATCCGTGAGTCTTTGGAGCTGTCTCGGTTCGCGGGAGCGCGTGGCGCGTTCACGGACTCAAGCGCTTCCTCTTCCCGTGCTAGTGTCCGCCAGACAAGAGCGATAGAAAATGGCGAGTCAGTGTAAAAAGCAGCAATGCTCTATCGACAGGCGCGGCTTTCGACAAGAACTTGACTCGTGGCGACACAAACTTATTCACTGTGTTGGTAAGTACAATGGCTGTAACATGCCGTACCGTTTTGCTGCCTGGAATTTGCCGTTGTGTAGCCGTGTTCGGCGAAAGTAACAGTCTATCACCGGGTTCAATTGGTGCATCTCGTAGCGACTTTTTTG